CGCCCCGCCCTTCCGGCCCCGCCCGCGCCGCCCCAAGGAAGCACCTGCCAAGTCTCTTTAAAAGGTGTTTATTGATCATATACAAAATAAAGAAAACCTTATATATCACAAACATACACTATATACAGCAATAAATACCCGGGGCCCGGCCCAGTGCCGCCCCTCCTGGACAATAATTTAGCAATAAATACTGCGCAGGGCAGGGTGGGTGCCAAGGTCGGCCGCCCCAGCGAGGACCTCTCCCCCCATCCCCCAACCTGGACCTTCAACAATCCCCGCCACCCGGGCAGATCCCAGGATACCCCCACCTTCCCCTGGCTTCAGCCCTAGGCGGGGCAGGCAGCGTCTGATCAACTCTGCTCGGACCCACCCTCTCAGCGCCAGAGCAGCAGAGTTGGACGCACTGGGCAGCCCTTGTCCTGTTGCCCTAAGATGCCAGGAGAAGGCTTTCTGTACCCACTCCCGTTTGTTTAAAGGCTTCCGGGACTAGCAAATTGAGGAGATGGGAAGGAGGGAAGGGCTGGGACACGAGGTTGCTGGAAGGGTCTCTCCTCATAGTTCACCGGGGACACCCACAGTCAAGGCTCCTGCTCCAGGGTGGGGTGCAGATGTGTGCGATTGGCCCAACAGGTAGAGCACACACCCAGGACATACAGGCCAGAAGCAGGACCGGCCATCAACTTCGAGGGCATACCCCTGCCTCTGTGTGTTCTCCACTCTCTTCCCGTCTCCAAAACCAGAAAGCCAACAGGAAGGCAAAAACGCGCCAAAAAGAAATTATTCAGTGGCTTCTGGGGAAAAAAATCGTTAATGTGTTGGTTCCTTTCACCAAACCACAGCCTAAAAAAGTAACTTACAAGATCCCAGAGCGGAAACAGTGCTACAGGCTGTGGCTCAGGCTTCCCAGCTGTGGACGGGAGCTTTGACCAACCGGCCACCCCAGAGATGGAGGCAACAGGGAGCGGGTGGGGCTTGACTACCAGTCGCAAAACAGGCTGCAGCTGATCAGAGCTGTGGGCCCAGGCAGTGACCACCGAGGCTGCTGCTGACGGTCAGGGCTGCGCACACAGACCAGAGCACGGACCAAGAGAAAAGTTCCCGTCGGAAACCAGCATACCCCCAGCTGCCAGGGAGCAGCCACATGTTCTCACCTGTGCCAGGGCAGTGCCACCCAGAGCAGCGGCCAGGGGCCGTGGGGAGTTCTGCCTGGGGCCACACTCTGGGAAGGAGCTGACTTACTCCCACAGGTTCTCTGAAATCTGAGTGTCCACGCTGGGATAAGGGAGGAGCTGGGCGGGGGCAAGGTAGTGTGGCTTACTTAGCGGACAAATTTGGGAGACTCGGCTCTGGCCGAGCCCTCGACTCGCTGTGTCAGAAAGGCGGGGGCACAACACCCTCATCGCAGGAACCACATTAACGAGAATCAGAAACACGCCAACCAGTCACAGGTGGACACAGAATCTACTGTCAAGGAACCAAGGTGAAGGGGAAAGGGGGGGAGTGGCCCCGCAGGATGCTCCCCCAGACCCAAGGATCAGTTGCTCTAAACCCCCTAAACCTTGAAAGGAACCACGGCCTTACTAACTCCAGAAGCTTCTTCTGTAAACCAAACCAAGGACCTACAATCCCTGCTCAGCTCACGCTCCATTCAAACCCTCCTGTGGCCGTCCCCACCCACCTCCTCTCTCCACGCTCCAGGTCTACAGCCGGGTAGGGCTGTGCAGACACGACAACTACCGCCCAGCCAGGTCAGAACGTGGCCTCTCTTTAGGGACTGTTACATGAGACTGCAACTCACTGCGGCTACAGCTATCACCAACTCCAGTCTGGAGCCCGGGAGACAGCGGCAGACTGGGGGCGGGGAAGCCACTACGTGATCTGGAGTCAACGGTCAGACTCTCACTGCAGGCTGACCCAGGCACAACTCGGAACCGCTGAGCATCTGGGCCCACGGCAGCCCACTGAGATGACAGAGGTTGACAGGGTGTTCTGCTCCCATCCCATGTGACATACTAGGTCAAACTCTGGGACAAAAATCCTGTTGCCCACGAGGTTAAACACCGTCAGGCCGCACCGTTCCACTTCTGTGCTGTTCGGGGGGTCAGGGTCCCCAGTGAAGCCAACCAGCAACCCCGAGGAGAGGCCAAGGCCCACGTGGCTGAAACAGAGCACTAGCCTCTGGGGGCAGGCGGGGGCACCACAGGCAGCCCCCGTCATGAGCCAACGAGGAGCTGCCCAAGCCAAGTCTGGGAGACTGGCTGCCTCGCCGAGAGGCGGGCACAGCCCCGAGAGGTGCACCGCTACAGGCCAAGCAGCAGGCCTCTGGAAGACACAGATCCGAAGGGAGGTGGAAGAAGGCCCAAGCTGGGAGCTGCCAGCAAGTTCTGGGGGACAGGAGGGACAGGACCCGGCCCTAGAGATTGTAGCCCTTGTCTGGCACTGGTGGAGACCCCTAGGCCTTTGGGCAGGCAGAGGGGCCGCCCCAAGTGGCCCCCGAAGCCACCTGGCTCTGCCTAGGGAGCACGGCCCCGCAGCACAGAGACAGTCCAGGATAAGTGGGTCTGGGCTTCCCCTGCTGAGGCTCAAGGGAAGCCTGGAGGAACGAAGTTGGGCTGCGGCCAGGGCCTGAGAACGCTGACCGGACACGTTCAGAAGGAAGACTGGGGGCGGCTTGGCTGTGGCCCCGCGGGCACCCACAGTGACTCCTCGGTCCCTGCAAAGCCCCCACCCAGGGCCAGAGGCATGGGCATGGAAGCAGTGGGAGTCCCGAGATGGCCACAGTGTCACCCACCCTGCCACTGGATCAGCCCAAGCCCGAGACACGTGTGCGAAGCCAGGGGTCAGGAGGGGTGGGTGCGGCCAGCCCCGAGTCTGACCCGGAGGCTTGGGGCAGGTGCTGAGGCAGAAGAGGCCGGGCTGGTGGGCACGGGTCCCCCCGCCACCGCCCCCCGCCAAGCTCTGCTGCAGCAGGTACCGCCTGGCACCCAGCCTGAGCCAGGCAAGCCAGCGGAAGCAAAACACAACCAAATCCAAAAACGAACACGGGAAAACAGACACGAGAAGTGACACCCACAGGTCAAAGGTCACCAGAAGCACCAGCACTTGACGCTGCACAAGACCTCACCAGGCACGGACGACACCACTGCACCGGCGGAGACGGAAGCAGGAAGGGCAGAGGAGTAAGTCACTTTCGGTACAATTGCAAAAGAGAGAGCGAAGAGGACGTCAGGACGCGCCTTCCGGGCTCGCGGCTCGGCTTTTTTTTTTTTTTTTTTGTCTTTTTTTAAACTAAGTTTTATAAATAACATCTGATAACTCTGTGTATATAAAAACTAAACTTCAACAGCCACAAAGACTTGTCTGTAAGTTTACAAGAAAGGGATTTTTGTTTTTGTTTTTTTTTTTTCCTTTTTTAAACTAGCAGTTTCTATTATACCTTCTTCCCTTTTTCATTTATATGGTCAAATGTTCTTGCTTTTTTTTAAAAAGACAGTTTTATAAATACTCTGCAGCTCTTTTTTTTTCTTTAGCTTTTAAACATATAATTTAATAACTTCGTAAAAGGAACTTCTCTCTTTTAAATAAAGGGCTATGTAACCACACAAATAGGTCATGTAAACAGTGACACGGGACCCACCGCAGGACACTGGACACACCCTCCACGTACGCTCACAACCAGTGATTTGGTCTTGTTCAGTGCAACGCATCAGGCGAGGGCGCGAGGCCCCGGGCCCACGGCCATGACACCCCCGCCCCCAGCACCCAGGCTGTTGCCCGCCTGTCCAGGGCCCTCAGGAACACCCTACTTCTCAGAGCAGTGCCCGTCTGTGCCCGCTGGCCGAGCTGCAGGTGAGCCACCCGGCGCCTGCCAGCGCAGCCCCTCCTGCCTCCAAGCCCTCCCGCTCGGTCCGGGGCCCCGAGCTCTCGCCTCGTCCTTCTGTCCACTCCCACAGGGCTAGCTCCGGACTCCGAGCCCGCATGGCCTTGGTATAAAGGGGGCTGGGGCGACCCCACGTCACCACCGAACTGACCAATCCCAACGTACAAAACACACGATGACAACGACGAGATCAAGGGGCTCAGCCCGGCGCCCCTGGGGTGCAGGTTGTGCTTTGCAGGGAAGGGAGGAGGTAGGAAAGGGGGGGTGAGGAGAGGAGGAAGGGGTCAGGGCTGCCGAATTTGCCACGCGCCTAACGGCCCCTCGAAGACCCGCCTGGGCAAGCGCGCGTCCCTACGACCGGGCGTCCGTCTTGGACTTTACTATTGTGATGACGCTGGTGGCGGCCACCTTGCCCGGGACGAGGGGCCCCAGGCCGGCAGCAAGGGGGCCCCGAGCTGGCGCCACGGGGCTGCGGGCCACGGTCCTGGCGAAGTTCTGCAGGGCCTCGTACTTGGAGCGCAGCGCGTCCAGCTCCAGCTTCATGCTGGCGTTCTCCGAGGCCAGCTTCTCCACCTCCTGCTGCAGCTCCGCCTTCTGCTTCTCCAGCTCCTCCTTCTGCGTCACCCGCTTCACGCGGCAGCTGGCGGCGTAGCCGCGGTTCTTGAGCGTGCGCCGCCGCTGCTTCAGCTGCATGATCTCTTCCTTGGACAGGCCGCGCAGGTGCTGGTTCAGCTCCCGCACCGACATGGTCACCAGCTCCTCATCGGTCAGGCTGGTGCCATTCTCGCCCGGCTCCCGCTTCACCTGGGGGCGGCACAGCGCACGACGTCACGGGCTGACTGGCGGCCCGACCCGTGCCACCCCGGCCCCGAGCCGCCGCCCATCTTGTGTGCTCACCTTCAAGGCCTTGTTTCCTTTATTGGGGGTCGTCATAACCCGGGGGCACAGCACGCAGGCACTCTGCAGGACAGGGAGCAGAGGTCAGGACTCTGGAGAGCAGCCCCGCCCCTCACCTGCCCATTCCCGGCGGCAGGCCCCCAGGACACTCTTGGGCCTTGCCTCTCCTGAGCGGGGGCTGCTCCTTGTCCACCCTGCCCTAGGGAACCAGCTGGGAGGCCAGGAGGTCTGAGGCGGGTAGGGGCGATGGAAGGGCTATTAGGGAGGCAGAGGCAAGAAAAGGGGCTGGGGAGAGATGAGAGGGATGCGGAGGGGCCGGCCTAGAAGAAAGCCCGATCTTTAAAAATAACCCCAGTGTGAGCCCCAGAGCCGCTGTTCCTGGCGAGTCATGCTGACTCAGCACATTGCTCGCTCCCTCACCGGCCCAGGCCGCCAGCCAACACAGCCCCAGGGGACTGGCAGCCAGTGCAAAAAGCTGCCAGGGCCAGAAAGGCCAGCCTGGCCAACAGCAGGTGAGGGCCAGGGCCAGTGACCCTGTGCGCGTGTGTACTCAACAGTCCTATCTCCCACAGCCGCCTCCCCTAGCATGGCCTAGGACAAAGCCCTGCTCCTACCCAGGCTTAGGGGGCCACCCCCACAGGGACTCGGGGAGATGGAAGGATGTGGGGGAGTCTTGATCCTCCCAGACTTCTCACTTTGAAGAGTGACCGCTAGCTCTGGCGTGAGTGCCTCACGCTCCAGGTGGCAGACACTGTGGCCCTCGGTGCACCTCTGCTGCTGATGGAGTAACCAAGCTGCGGCTTTGGCTTGCAGCACCTCGTGCCCCTGGCCTCCCTGTCCGGGGTATTTCACAAGAGCGCCCACACTTAGCCATCCGGGCCTGCTCGGCCCCCTCTGCTGCGGTCAGTACCCACAGGGCAGGGAACAAAAACAAAGGGGTCCCTTCCCATCCACTCAGTCACGCTTCTCACACCCCACCTCACTTTCTGCTTCCTGAAGCCCTGCCAAGAACATTTTTGCACACCTAGTCCTGGGATTCCTGGCTCAGAGAGCTGCCACCACACCCTAAAGCGAGGCTGCACCCCCACCCACTCTGCCCCCTGCTCTCCAGGTTAGATTCAGGGAGAGAAGTGGCTGGGGGGCTAGACAGACTGCAGGCTTCCCTCAGCCCATTCTAGCTCAGTCGTCCCTCTTACCCTCGCCAGGAGCTCAAGTGTGGCCGGGAGATGGATGCACAAGTGGGCTCCAGGGTGGACCCCACCTCGCCCAGCCTGCCCCAGGCAAGGAGGCCAGAGGCGTCTGCCCACAGCCAGGCCACCCAGGGTCTCTGGCAGGCCTGAGTCTCCAGCAGCCGGTTCTTCCAAAGCACAGGATGGGCAGACCAGAGCTGGAGGCCAGGTCCTCACAGCAGAGCACCAGCTGGGGGGCAGGGACACTACCCTGGGCCCTACTGCTGTCAGCCCGAAGGAAAAGCCCTGGCACCAGCTTTTCCCACCGCCATGCTCCCTCCACCCCCAAATGCTGAGCACAGCGGTGACTTCCTGAAGAGATCACACAGAAAAGTGCCTCCTCGACAGATTTCACCCTCCGCAGAAGGCCTGAACTCAGCACAAGTGCAGCCAATCGCCTCCCAATCAAAGGTGTGTGGGGGAGGGGCGGGTCTCAGCAAAGCCCGTGCTTCCAGACTTCTGGCCTGGCCTCCGCCCACCTGGGGACACACGCAGATGGGACAGAGACAGCCCTTTGGGGTGGGATGGGAGTGATGGCTCAGGGCACCTCTAGAAGGTGGAGGGGATCCCAGAGGCCGGATCAAGACGCTGTCCCCACAGCCCTCCTCCCCATCCCAAAGGCTGGACCAGAGCTGGGGCTGGGTCATCCTTCTTCCTCCTCTCCCCTGAGGCTGAGTCCACCTCGTGGAGACGGCCCAGATAGCCCGAATCCAGCACGGTGCCCTGGACCACCCACTCAGGTTGAAAGCCAGTCAGGAAGGGGAAAGAGGTCCAGGCTGCTGCAGTCCTTCCCCTGGGCCCAAACTCCAGGTTGTGGACACGAGGCAGAGGTCAAGACGGCCAGCCCCTGCTCCCTCCTCTGGCCTGCAAACCTGTGGCCAAACCTCCCAGGCAGGGCGCTCTGGCACCCCAAGCCAGCCTGGCCTCACTCCCACCCTGCCCTTCAGACCGACTCCTCCAGAAGCCCTCAGTCAATAAAAGCCACTCTGAAAAAAGTCTAAAACTTAATTTCCACTGAAGCACACGTTACTGAGAAGACTTAAAGAAATGCTCCTCCAGGAACCTGCATTTCCCTAGGGCATAAAATTCCAGCCAAAAGGTCAGCTGAAGTGTTAGAACATCTGGCATCTCCGAGCCCAGGGCTGAGTGTGACTGGGGGGTGAGGTGGGGGAACCCTTGAGGACAAACCCCAAGGCCAGCCTAGCCTAGCCATGAGACCCCAGGCAAGGTCAGCTCTGCTCTAGACAAAACGCACCCCACTCTCAGAAGTCAGGAATTACCCATACACTCAGGAGAGGTGACCGAGGCCACACTACCCTCAAGCTGTCATTTCCCCAACGGTCCCCGTCACCTGACCTGCCACCCATTGGGGGCTTGTTCTCTGCCAACCTGCACAACACTGACCCCTAATCTCCAGTGGGCTGACTTTGAGGTGGCTGGAAACTACATCCTTCCACCCCAGCCCACCTGCTACCCCCTGAAGGCTAAGCACCCTCCAAGCTACCACCGCCCCCAGCAGCCTGGACCCCGTCCCCAAGGCCGGGCTGCAAAGAGGGGCAGGGCCTGCTCACCAGACACCTCGGTCCCCAATGTCTAAATCCTGCTGCTTCCTCTCATTTGCAATCCCCGGCGGGGTGCGCCTGCTTGCCCCTGCCTTGTCCACTGCCACCCAGGACTCCGGTACAGGGTGTGTTCCGCTGGCCTCTTCCGCGGAGCCCTGGACTCCCGCTCGACCCCACCCTTTCCTCCCGCCCTCCCCTCCCTCCAGGAGGCCCCAGCCCCCTTCTCCCACTGCCTCCCCCTCTAGCCAGTGTACCCCTCTCATCCCCGCCCAGGGGCGCCCAGGCTGGCGGACCAGATCAGTCACAGGAAAGCCTGCTTCCCGCCCCCTAGCACGGCCCCCCTAAGCTCCTCCCCTCCTCTCACTCAGAGAACTATTTCCCAGTTTGGGGAACTGTCCCAGACGTGGGTCGGGGACCAGCTGCCTGAGAAGCGCACGCCTGGGAGGGGAGGGGCAGGCCAGGGGCTTCATTTTCTACCGCACCGTGGCCCCCTCCACTTCCTCCTCCCCACCCTACCTCCGACTCGCAGCTCAGCCCAAACTTAAAAGGGCGCCCCAGCCCCTGGGCCTGGCCCCATCCCCACGTCCCCACTGTCCCCTTCCGCTCCTCGTTTCCTGGCCTTTCAGGCCCCAGGCCCCTCGCTCAAATCCCCCCAGGCACCGGGATGAGCGTCGAGTGACCTCATGCTGATGACTCAGCAAGTCTCCCTCGGGGCTCTGGCACGCGTGTGACGGAGCG